CCCACAGATCCCCAAAAAAACCCCATCCCCACCCAAATACATCCACACACAACCCCACAGTCTCTACCATACCTCACATACACACACATCCACACACACACCTACAGCCCCCCACAAACCCCATACCCACGCCTCCATACGCTCCACAATATATAAAAGTAAGGTTTCATTTTGGCCTATTATGGAATCACTTCTATATATACAGCACAAACACACACAAATCAGGACAAAATATTTTTTAAAAATAAAAGTAAAATATGTTATTATTGTTTGATTTTTAGTATATAATCTGTTTGTTTTTTTCAGTTCTAAGATGGCAAACCCCTTTCCCAAAAGGTGTACTTCCAGGGACAAGGGGAAGGACTTCTGGTGGCAAAGGTCAGAGGTTAGGGACAGGACTTCGGGTCCCAAGATGGTTACCAGGGGTGAGGCTCTTCACAAGCGGCAGGGCTACCTTGTGGCCCTTGATAGCTTATCAAAACTCGTTAAGTGGCTCTCCAACTGAAAAAAATTGCCCAGCCCTGGATTATAACCTGGACATAAAAGTCCTCTCTAGGTAGAGGTTTGGCAAGCAAATCCCAGCCACAAAACTCTTTCTTCATTTGTTTGCTTATTTTTGCGTATAAGTCTTGCTTGCTTGCTTGCTTTCTTTCAAAATGACCACCGACAGCTGTGTTCCCTCTGGGCTCTGGGAACTTGTGCCTGTTCTGTGAGCCTTTCTCCTTCTCTTGCTCTGCTTTTCCTAGCCCAGACAGTCTGATCCCTTCTCACCATAGTCCCTGACTTTTCATTACTTTTTCTTGCCTTTTTTAACCTTTTAAGCCCTTTCTCCTGCAGTAACTCGCCCCCTGCTTCCCTCCTTTCCCCCTCCCCTCCCTTCCCCTCTCTCCGGTTTTATTTTTTCTCCCCCTCTTACTCTGGCTTCTCTGTTGCTTTCTTCTTTTCCCTCCTCTTTTCTGTTACATTGCTTACCTTTATCCTCCCCTCTGTTGTTTGTTTTTGCCATCTTCTGTGTTCCCTGCCAGGCTGCCCAACCCCCACCCCAATGGTTCCTTGCATAGTTAACTCATTTTTTGCTGGAGTGGCTGAAGGCAGCTCTCAGCAACACACAGCTGGGGCTTCTGACCCCCTGGACCAGAGTTTTGGTCTCTGGCTTCATGCCCCTCCCTCTGTTGGAGTGGAGGAGTGCGCCTCTGCTGTGGGTGCAGTTGTAGACTGCAAAAACATCCTTTATGCTGCCTGAGTGAGTTCCATCATTTTCCTCAGCTCCCCTGCTTTGGTGCATAATGTCATGGTATCAGGTGTGTCTGTCAGGGTTTTTTGCCTCGCAATGCCTTTGGACACACTGACCATTTGGGTGGTAGCCTCTAACGTTCCTCCATTTCTCTTGGACAACAACCTTACCACCTGCCTGTGACCCTATGGCATGGTAACAGGCCTGGTCCATATACTGCTTCCTGGCAGCAAGGTTCCTGAGCTCTGATATGTCCTATCGTTTAAAAGGTAGATGTTCATGCTTCTTGACAGGATGGGTCAGGGTTTGCCCCACTCCATGTCCTTCATGATTGACGAGTAGCGTTATGAGGTCTATGTCACTATTGGGAACACCTTGTGCTTTTTCTGTGGTAGCAGGTCCCATCTGACTACCCAGTGCCTGAAGAAGCCAGCCATAACAGAACCACCTGCGGCTGTGCTCGATGGTAGCTTGTCCACCTCTGGTGCAGAAACTGCATTAGGTGTGGGGATGGGCCTTCTTCCCAGCCACTTCTTGTTTTGTCAGAGTCAGCTGGCTCCACAGAGGTAGACCCTGCCCCCCTTGTTCCTCCCCCCATAGGGGAGGCTTTGACTCCTCCTGCTGAGAAGGGTAAGTCCCAGCAACAGAAGGAGTCTTCCAAGAAAGCCTTGTCATCCCCTCAGAACCTCCCTACTGCTTCAGGGGGAGCTGGAGTTAGCAAGCAGGATCCCCCCTCTCTTCCTGCCTCCTTAGCATCCCCCCCAGATCTTGTAGTGGTCAGGTTGACCTGGGGGTAGGAGAGGTGACAGGGGGGTCCGATGGCCCTCCCCTCACCTCTCAGCTCCCTGAGCCTGATGAGGTCAACATGGAAGTTGGGCCCTCTGGGAGCCTCAAGAGAACACCCCTCCCAGGAGAACACCCCTCCAAAAGATCAGGGACTGATGTCTCCCCCTGAATCCCTTGCAGGCCACTGCTCCCACAGTGCCTGATGTTGAGAGTCCTGATGAGGAGTCACTTTCCCCTCCCCACTTCCCCCAGGACTCTGTGCATGACGTGTACGGCTTCTCCTCCTCAGGGTTGGATTTTGATTCTGCCTCTGAGGATGAGTTGACATAAGCCCTGCCTGGGGAGGCGGCGTCCCATGATTCAGCTAAGGTGCCCCCCTCCACAGGGAGAGTCCCCACCCTGGTGGCAAAGTCTACTCTGGCCTTTAATGAACCTCCCTGTGTTGGTTACTCAGTTGAGCATCTCACTGAGTTCCTTGACCAAACCAAGCATCACTGGCAGGTTGCACGCGTATTTGTAAAAGATTCCCAGAACCTAAGACATTCGTGCTTTCCTCCAAGGCTACAGCAGCGCTGCTGCATCCCACTCTGGGGATACAGCATTATAGTTTTTGCCTAAGCAAGCTCTTAGGTAATGTTGGGCACCTGTTGTGTGAAGTACTGGCTGGCAAACTGTAGGCCCAGTTTTTCCTTGTCTTGCATGCTTGCTCCTTTCTGGTGTTTCTCTCTGTTCTTTTGGATTTGCCTGTCTCCCTTTCTATACCCTTCATGCATGGCTGCTACTGCCTTTGGTTCTCTCAATGCCAATGGCTGCAGAGACCCTGTGAAGCAGACAGCACTCTTTGATTTTCTGTGCCAGAAAAAGCTGGATGTCTCCTTTCTACAAGAAATGCACACTGACACAGCTAATCAAGCTGATTGGGATGCTGCCTGGAGAGGCCATATGTTCCTGAGTCATGGCACACCCTCAGTGCAGGGGTCACAATCCTCTTGTCACTACAGCTGATGCCTGACTTGGTGGTAGCCCAAGAGGTCATCCCTGGCTGCCTGCTGACTGTTCGCATCTCTTCCACAAAATGTCATCTCCTCTTAATTAATGTCTACACGCCCACTACTGGATGGGAATGGGGTTACCTTTTCTGAGACTCTGGCTGAACTTTTGTGGGATGCAGCTGATGATAATGACCCTCTCCTTCTGGGTGAGGACTTTAATTGCATGGTCAATGAATGGCTTAACCAGAACGGGCCACAGCCCCATCCATCTTCAGCCCAGTGGCTGCAGACTGCTTTGAAGGCAGTGGACCTCATTGGTGTTTGGCACCATTTTCATTCCCATGTGAAGCAGTACATTTCACTGAAGGTGACCACTGGTAGGACTGCCATGGCATACCCCAACCTCCTATACATCACCAAGCATCACTGGCTGCTCTTGCTTGGCAGCTGCATCATCCCCTTTGGACTTTCAGATCGCAGTCTTATTTCTTGTGAGCTTAGTTCCCCTGGCAGCGCATGTTCCTGGGTGCCCTATTGGTGTTTTGTGGCCACCCTCCCGGCAGAGGTGGTGGCTGCCCTGCGGGACCACCTCTGAGCATGGTGGGTCATCCCTGCTGGGGATATCTTGGGTGAGACCTTTCCACCACAGTCCGTCATCCCAGCCATGTACATTGACCTGGGTGGTGTGCCACTTTACTGGCTCTTCCCGTGCCTCCTGACAGCAATGCCGGGATCTGTTTCAATGCACTCCCCTGGAAGGCCCTGTAGACGTGGGTGATTCATGTCTGCCATGCCCGCTTTCTTGCCAGTCATCCTGACATGACATGGCAGTGGTACCCTAGTGGCACCGGTGCTTATGTCAGCCCAACCTGCATGGTGCTCACTTTATAAGCTGCACATCACCAAAAGGACCAATGACCTCCAGTGGTGGTTCTTGCATGGGAGACTGGCCACTGGCACTCTCGTCCACCACATAAATCTGGCTGCATCAGCAGCCTGCCCTTTTGTCCAGGGGAGGTAGAGGAGGATATGTTCCACGCCTTCCTCATGTGCCCCCAGCTGCCACCGCTCTTTGCAACCCTTGGTGCTTTATTCGAGGTGCTGGACTTGGACCTCTCAATGGTTACCTTTTTGTTTTCCCTTCCGTACTGGGTGGCTCAGGGGGTATCATCTGCCTGGCCAACATGGCCATCCTCTAGAGCCACAGGAACTGGCTCACTGGGGCCAGCTCTGATGATGGCCTGCAGTTCTTTTGATTCTTGGTCCAGGTGTGCCTGTCACTGGAATTCAAATGTGCGGTCCTCCAGTGGACAGCACCCACCTTCCAGGTGCATTGGGCCATTCAGGGGTGCTCTGTAGCATCAATGGCAGCCACTTGGTCATAGAATCATAGAAAGTTGGGGCTGGAAGGGGCCTCAGGAGGTCACCTAATCCAACCCCCTGCTCAAAGCAGGACCTTTCCCAACTAGATCACCCCAGCCTAAGCTTTGTCTAGCCAGGTTTTGAAAATATCCAAGGATGAAGCTTCTACCACCTACCTGGATAACCTGGTCCAGTGTTTTATTACCCTCCTGGTGAGAAAATTCTTTTTAATATCTAACCTAAACTTCCCTTGCTGCAACTTGAGATCATTGCTCCTTGTTCCATCATCTGCCACCACTGAGAAGAGTCTAGCTTCATCCCTCTTTCAACCCCACCTTCAGGTAGTTGAAGGCTGCTATTAAATCCCCTCTCTGTCTTCTCTTCTCTAGACTAAATAAGCCCAGTTCCCTCAGTCTTTCCTCATAAGTCATGTTGCCCAGCCCCCTCATCATTTTTGTTGCCCTCTGCTGGACCCTCTCCATTTTGTCCACATCCTTTCTATAATGAGGGGCCCAAAACTGAACACAGTACTCCAGATGTGCCCTCACCAGTGGTGAATAGACGGAAATAATCTCTTCCCTTGACCTGCTGGTAACATACCTACCAATGCAGCCCAGTATGCCTTTAACCTTCTTGGCAACAACGGCACACTGCTGGGTCATATTCAGCTTACTGTCCACTGCAACCCCCAGGGTGTTTTCTGCAGAGCTGCTGCCCAGCCAGTCAGCCCCCAGCCTGAACTGGTGCGTGAGATTGTTCCATCCGAAGTGCAGGACTTTGCACTTGTCCTTGTTGAACCTCATGAGATTTCTTTTGGCCCAATCCTCCAATTTGTTTAGGTCACTATGAATCCTAGCCCTACCCTCCAGCGTATCTACTATTCTCCCCAGCTTGGTGTAATCTGCAAACTTGCTGAGGGTGCCCTCTATGCCATCTTCCAGATCACTGGTAAAGACATTGAACAAACTGGGCCTTGGGACTGACTCCTGGGGCACTCCACTTGATACTGGATGCCAGCTAGACAGTAAGCCATTGATTACTACTCTCTGAGCCCCATGCTCCAGCCAGTTTTCTATCTACTTTACAATCCATTCATCCAGCCCGTACTTTCTTAGCTTGCCTGTGAGAATGCTGTGAGAGACTGTATCAAAAGCCTGGCTAAAATCAAGGTACAGCACATCCATCGGTCTCTCCACATCCACAGAGCCAGTCACCTCATCATAGAAGGCAATCGGGTTGGTCAGGCATGACTTACCCCTGGTGAATCTATGCTGACTGTTCCTAACTTTTTTTTTCTCCTCCAGTTGCTTAGAAATGGATTCCTAGAGGATCTGCTTCATGATTTTTCCAGGGACTGAGGTGAGGTTGATTGGTCTGTGGTTCCCTGAATTCTCCTTCTTCCCTTTCTTAAGTATGGGCACTATGTTTGCCTTTTTCCAGTCATCCAGGACCTCCCCGATTGCCATGATTTTTCAAAGATAATGGCCAATGGCTCTGCAATCACATCAGCCAACTCCCCCTGCACCCTTGGGTGCACCCCATCTGGCCCCATGGACTTGTATATGCCCTGCTTTTCTAAATAGTGCCTAACCTGTTCTTTTACTACTGTTGGCTGCTCATCTCCTCCCCAAACTCTGCTGCCAGGTGCAGTAGTCTGGGAGCTGACCTTGCCTGTGTGAAGTCAGAAGCAAAAAAGGCATTGAGTATTTCAGCCTTTTCTGCATCCTCTGTCACTAGGTCTTCACACTGTGATACTGCTCGCCCCCTCCTGGGGTACCAGCAGGGGTCTTAGCAGGTTGATGTTGTACCAGATGTTTTTGTTTGTAGACTGTGAGGGCAGACCTTGTGGGCCATAGCCCCAGGCTCTGTCTGTTGTACCAGGGCCCATGTGGGCCACCTTTTGTTGCATTGCTACTCCTTTTTCCTTTAATAAACATTTATAAAAAGGTCAAAAAGTCTTTGTGTAGAAATCAAGAAACACTAGTGGGTTATTTCTCCATTGCTTTTAAATGCAAATTAGAAAAAGAAAACAGCTTGGGTTTGGTGTTATATTATTATTTGGTGTTATTATTATTATTATTATACATTTTAATAAAAATATCTTTTTTTTCCAGTATTTTCTGTATAAAAATTGTATGCAACCAGAGATGTACAACTATTCATAAAGTATTTATTTCCTTGGTAATGTGCTAATTTCCTGGGTTAATTTTTGTTCTTTTTCCCTCCCACTAACTCCAACGCAAGGTCAAATTCCCTTTCTTTTGCTGGTTCTGTTGTTTTGCACTGTACCGTCCCTTAGCAAATTTCCTCTCCACATAGGAAAGGAGTTTGCTGTGAAAGCAGCTCTTCACTGCTCTGTCTTTCAGCATCAGTCACCTCCGGAAGGAGATATTGTCTAACTTCTGGAGGAATAAAGTGCGTGACTGTCATAATTATCAAATGACCCAGGGGACAAAGAAAAACTTGTTTACTGTAAAACCTTTGCTGCTTTCCATGCTTTTTCCTCAGCTTTCTTAACAAAATTGAAAGGTTACCACTAGGTTTAGCACTAGAGAAGACTGCCAGCAAGTCACCAAAATCCTAGAGGGCCAATTTTTACTGTTAGACTGATTGAAATTGGAAAATAACTTTGCTTAAAGCAGTGGGGTTATTTTAGATTTTATATCAGTGTAGCTGAGAGGAAGATTTGGTTTCCTGAAGGGTTGTTTTTTTTTTGGGGTGGGGGTGTGTGGGGGGGGTGAGGCTGGGATGTGACTGAATCCCAGCTCTGTGAATTTTCTGTTTCAGGGAACTTGCAACCTTGGCCTTACACATTTCAGAGATGTAGCACTTGAGTACTCTAAGCCACCTCTAAGGCAGCTGCAAAGCAAGATGAACTGATATCCATAGCAACTGATCCCAAAGAAGGTCCTCTTGCTTCTTAAGATTTCACTTGGGGCATTCAGATGAGTGACTGTCGTGCTACAAGGGTTTATACTGCAGGTAAGGAAAATGGGGCCATTCTGTTTGGTAGATGTTCAGATTTTGGTGAATCTTTCTGTCGGCAGGACACTGAGCTTGTGAGTCTAGCGTTTCTCCTAGAACGATTGTGTTAATATCTGATCTGGAGTTGTCACCTGGATTGATTGTGCCTGGTAAATTTTGCTAAATAGATTTCTGAGCACCTTAAGGGAGACAATAACCTAACTGTTAAATATTTTGCCTCTTCTTACTTGAAATTTGTTTTTAACATCCTATAAGTAAGGTAGTGGCAGCTCTGTGCACTGAGCTTCTTTGATATCATCATTAAAGACCCTTAGGAGTAGGATGCCTTATGGGCAGAAGCCTGGCCAGTGAGCTATAGGAAATCCTTATGTTCTGCTTCAGTACTGAGGAAGAGGAAAATCTGGCAACTCCATGTATACCATTCCTTCTTTATTTCCTTTTGGGCACCAAAGTAATTATTAAACATACTATGACTACATGGCAGCACACAAAGTACTGTAAAAGCTGGACAACGTGTGTGTTACTATGCCCTCCTCAATGGGATCAGAAATGCTCAGCTGCGTGTCTGGTCCTATTCTGCCAACAGCTGATGGGGAATTTCCTATACAGAAGGACTGGAAGCATGCACTCTTAAAGCAGAAAGACTTTAATTCTCTCTCTGGTATTAAGCAAACAGAAAATGTTAATGACAGATGTCTATTTCCCTGAAACCTCGATTTGTCGTCAAAAATACAAAAAATAGTGTGTTTTGGACCAAAAACACTTTGTCTTTTTTCAATGGAAAGTAAATATTTTCTGAAAATAATTTTGAAAAATATATATAAAGTTTTTTTAGTTTTCTTTGAATTTTTCCATGGGGGACAAACATTCACTTTATATAATTCACTAATATACTTCAGTAATTCTAACTGACTTTATATAACAAAGTGACCTCATAAAACATTATTAGCTCTCTGACTCTTGAGGCCAGCCACTTGGCATAGGGAAAATGCCAAAGTGATTCCTTTTGTTTAAAAAAATATTTATTTTGTTTAATATTGCTATTATTGTAGCACCTAGTGCTGCCAATTGGGGATAAAGGCCCTGTTATGTTATACTTTGTACAAACATTTAGCAAAAAGACAATCCTTTTCCCAAAGTTCTTACAGTCTATATTATTATTATTAAACTGGTACATGACGTTATAGAAAAGCCTGCCAAACATCTTTTGTAATAAGAATAATTAGTGTCAAGTACTAAAAAGTACCCGATAGTGAAAGACGACCAGGCCCTGTGCCTTTTGATAAACATGTGCCTAGGTCTTTTAGAAATTTTTGAAAATCTCTCAGTAATAAATTAAATATTTAAAGCCATTAAACTTAGCACACTATGTTGAAAAAACACATTTTTTGAGTTCATTGAGGAGTCTTGCTTGGTAGCAAGTTGGCTGGGGTGACACAAATTGAGATCTGCGATGAAAAACCCCTGATAGTCATATTTTGTGTCACTAAAGCTCATGACCAGCAAACAGCTTTACTGTTAATGAATTAAAGCAGAAGTGACTAAGATATGCCCACATGGACTGCAGACAATGTTCACATTGTCAACACAGGTGCAGACTCTTACATTCATTGATACATCTTGTACCTAGCTGCTCCCCCCAAAGAAATAGGATGTGTATTGACCCTCTCCTATAGATATTTAGGAAACAAAAGACCTTCCTTCCTACCTACCTGGCTTTCCTTTTATTGGGTATAATTGGAATTGAAACAATATTAAATTTATGGCATAAAAGACTGTTGCCATGGAAATGGTTGGAATGTCATAATTTCTCCATCGTGGCTATAGTGGGAAGGTGATGAAGGGGAAGGCAGACAATGAGTGAGACAGGAAAAAAAGTGTGAAAGATCCCTTGTTACAATGCAAATTGTCCAAAAGAAATGGATAAGAGCCACCTGAAAGCAGAGTGGATTGATAGCCCAGGAAGAGAATTAATTTTTGTATGTTGGGGGTTGCCGTGTCATTTCTGAAGGCATCGGGAATGCAATTTTTTTTTGTTCTCCTCTGTGCATCTTTCTCTCTCATTTTTTGTGTGTATTAAGTGGCCCATGCTGAGCTCTGCATTGAGATGTGTCATCATGATAAATCACTTTTACTGGGATTATATTCCCCCCCACCCCCCAGCTGAAGCTGCCAGTAAGACACATTTTACTAGTTGCAAGTGAAAGGCTGAAACATCTTCCACAACCTTCTCTCCCTCCCTCCCCATCCTGGAAACATTAATTAAGTAAACCCTGACTGCTTACTTTCAGGGAAGCTTTTCCTAGCCCAAGTTTAGCTCCTAGAGAAAAACATACAGAGATAGGATATAGCAACTATCAGCACTGGATCAAGGGCCCTTGATCAAGTCTGTTTCCCTCTTCCCCTTGTGCCCAAGGATCTCAGAATTCTTTATATCATTAATGAATGAAGTCAACCAACATTACTATGAAATGTTTTTTACCATACAGGAAATCAAGGCATACAGCAGTTAAGTAACTTATCTAACTCTATGACAGAGCTATAGGATCACCATCCTGGGCTTCTGGCTGTCCATTCCTCTAAGTACTGGAACACAGACTGCTTGATATTTAAGAATATAGGACTGGAAGAGACCTCCTGAATCACTGAGTCCAGTCCTCAGCTATCAGAGGAAACTGTATTATATGACCCCTTTCATCCATTTCACTTAACTGAGATCCTTTATAAAAGAATCTCAGTTAAAGTAGTTAAGGTTTTTGCCCCCACTGTTCTGACTGGCACGCTTCTTCAGTGTCATACTGCTCTTACAGCTAGGAATTGCTTTCTAATTTTCAATCTAAATGTGTTCTTCATCACTTTATACCCATTAGTTCTTGTGCCAACACTGTTCTTTGACATAAATAGTGCTTCTTCTCCCTCCCTGGTGTTTACTACCAATGCATTTCAGAGCACAACAGGCAAATGCTTCTAATAATATCAAAACTCAGACAGGAGAGCAGTAAAAGGACTTCAGTGAAGTAAAAAACAGTTCTGCACCTTTGTGGGTTTAAAACATTTTAACCCACAAAAGTGCAGAACTGTTTTTTAAAACAGTTTAAGAATAAAGGGAGATGGAAGGGATTGGAAGTTATTACTAAAGCTGATCAAAATTTATCAAACAAAAACTGTTTTAAGCCAAAAAATGCTTTTTAGGCCATTAAAAACATTCTGCATATTTGTCATGCATCTCCCAAATTGTTTATTTTGAACAAAACTCCCCAAACTGAAAAAACCTTTTTTCCCTATATTTTTAAACAAAACCTTTGCTTTTTATTCAAATGACTTTGTTTAAAGATGGCTATCATTTTACTTCTTAAAAAATGAAAAATATTTAAAAATGACTCAAAACTGAACTGAAATATTCTGTGTCAGGTCATTCTACACAACTTGTAATTACTTTTTTTTTCTAATTTTAAAAAAGTTTGGTTTTGGTTTGACCCAGGTAATTGCTTTTCTGGCATTGCCTGTAGACAATTCTAGTGGCTGCTGAGATGCTCTCTCTTTCAGCTCTCTATGGCACTCACCAAAATCCCCCCATTTTTTCTACATCCATAGCTACAATGGGTTTTACCCCAGTGGCTTTTGGCCTATTTGGAAATTTCTTCAGTTAGTCAAGAAATTTCCCAAGAGACATCTGATCACTTTGCACCCAAATGCTTATGGATTAGTTGAGCACTTTTGGTTTTGCCGCCAGTGCTTCTGGGAATCGGGAATCAGCTGCTGGTCCCCGCTCCCTGAGTCAGGAGGCACCATGCGTTGCCCTATGGCGATGTTGTTACTGTGCTGTGCGTTAGTACTTCCTTTTGGAAATCATAAAGCATGGTACAGTAACCACCCACGCTGCACTGTACACACCATACACGGTTATTTTTAGCAGCT